GACTGCAGACTGATTAGCGAGTGAAGCCTTAAAAGCTCGCGAGATCAGGATGGTGTCATGAGGCTACTGGTCCCATAAGAGTTGATGATTATTTCCCTCTAGAGGTCTGGAGCGCTTAAATCACTTCGCAGCATTTATTAACTTGCACTTTGGGGGCCATCAAATTTTAAGAAGGTTCCAGTGCCCCTCCCGCCCCCCTCTAGCTCCACTCGGTTTAGCTCCACTCGCCCCCCTCTAGCTCCACTAGGTTTGCAGCATGTTTCAGGTTTGCTGATCTCTAATTTCTGTGACTGCACCTTTTCTCTTTTGCAGCATTTATAATTTGGTTTTGCAGGAATCTTTTGAAATTTGCTTTGAAATCATGGTGTTTACATCAAACACACATTTCCGAAAGTTTTCCACAACATAACGACTTATAGGATCTAAGTAATGTCTATGTGTCAGAGCAACATACTTGCAAACACAACAACAGGCTGAGCAGATAGAACATCAGAACAATGAAGCCGGTTTGCAGAACTCCCACACATTTATACACCGATTGCTGGGGAGCTAGAGGTTAAGTGCCTTGCTCAGGGGCTCATCAATATGTGACAACAACTCTTAGTCTCCCTGTAACTGCAATACCAGCTTCTGGTAAAAATGCTACACAACATCAAACAAGTGTTTTAATATATATATATATATATTTGTTTTTTTGTTTTTCAGATCATCTGTGCAGTTCTGCTCCAGGGTCGGTCCCAGAAATCTGTTATTGGGAGTTTGTCAGCTGGGAGCTTTGAGGTGTTTGGGGCGGAGCATCACGCTGACCGGACCTGCTGACTGTGACAGACCTGATGAGACGTTCAGCTCATGTGACGACTGCAAACCAGGGACAATCTGTCAAGGTGAGCACGCTTATCCCGATCGTTGATGAAAAATCCAAGAAAACAAACTCAACAATGAAACAAACCTCTTATCTCAAACATAGAATCCCAGCGAAAATGCATCTGTCAGAGTCCGTCAGATTGCCCTGAAGACTCCGCCCCCCTGTGCGTCAGCCCCGGCGATGACGGCGCCGCAGTGACCATGACAGAGTGCGAGGTGGGGAGCAGGATGTGTGCTGGCGAGGCCTTCCGTCTGATCAGCCTGGACGCTTGTCCAAGTTAAACACAGACATGTTTTAACTCTTCATCTGTAAATATTTCACCTTTTTTTTACTTGCTGAACTGTAAAAAAGAAATGATTTGTAAACTAACAATGACACTTCATGAGTTGCTATTTTAGGGTTGGATTGTTTGAAGATAAAATCAATTAACATATTCAGCTGCTTTCCGGATTTCAAGCTATCAGTTTTATAAACCTCAAATATTATAATAGAATATTATTATCCCTTATTTTTATTAAATTCATAAAATTAAATAGAAGATTGAATTATCTATTGTTCTTTTCATAATTAATGGTGTGTTTACAGTAATTTTTTTTAAATAAAACTTAAATCTATGTATTTCATAGGACATTTTTTCATTTCATGCGACATCCACATTCATGTGTTTTACTATATATTTTGGGCCTCCATATATTTAAAGGGATTAATTATAAAACCATCTCACAACACCCCCATTTGGGGTCTCATGACCCCCCAGTGGTACCAACCCGTTCTTTGGGAATCTGTCTCATAGAGGATCCTGTATATACATTAAAAGATGCCATTTTTGAAATTTGTGAAAGAAATTAAAATGAAAAATTTACCAAAATCTGTATTTGGAAATAGCAACATTTCCATTAAATGATTGATTAGGGAATCGGTCTAAAGTTGACTGATCTTGTCGATTGAAGGATTAAGCAGCCATTTCACAAAGAAAAAAAAATAGTTTTCTTGTATGGAAACAATACAGTAGTTATCCTTGTTTTTACTTTGCAAAGCTAAATTACATGTTTTTTACATCATCATGTTTTAATAATGATCTTGTCAGATGTCTTAAATACTGTCTAAAGGCCTTAAACTGGTGGTGGAGTGGAGATGGATGAAGTTGGTCAGTCTGTAGACTGCTGGTTAGTGAGACGGTCTGCTG